AATTGCTTGAACCTCAGAGGCGAAGGTTGCAGTGAGCCGAGATTGCACCACTGCACTCCAGTCTGAGCAACAGAGCAAGACTCTGTCTCAAAAAAAAAAAAGAAAAAAGAATTAAGGTCCAAATTTGGAATCAAAGGTAAGAGCGAAGATAATTTATTTAATAATTATGAGAACCAGACCCTTTTTTAAAGAAAACAAAACAAAACAAAAACAAACTCTCACCCAGGCTGGAGGGCAGTGACACAATCACAGCTCACTGTAGCCTTGACCTTCTGGGCTCAAGTGATCCTCTCACCTCAGTCTCCCAAGTACCTGGGACTACAGGCACATGGTAGGCCTGACTAATATTTTAGAATTGTTTTGTAGAGATGGAGTCTCACTATGTTGCCCAAGCTGGTCTTGAACTCCTGGGCTCAAGCAATCCTCCTGCCTTGTACTTTGGGAGTATCCTAGTACTTTGGGAGTATCCTAGTACTCCCAAAGTACTAGGATTGCAGGCATGAGCCACCACGCCCAGCCCAGAATGGGACCATTTTTAATAGGTTATTATTATTATTATTATTTTTTATAGATGAAGCTTCACCATGTTGGTCAGGCTGATCTTGAACTCCCAATCTCAGATGATCCACCCACCTTGGCCACCAAAGTGCTTGGATTACAGGCGTGAGCCACCATGCCCGGCCTTTAATAGGTTATTAGAAGAAAACCTGTCATAAGGCAGAATTTGTGGGGCTACATATAAGATGGGGGCACTGAAAAGTGGCTTTAGAGGAGCTGTAGCAATTAGGGTTTTTCTATCAGTCCTCTGCCTCTTTGCTCAGATGCTGACAGTGAAACTGTGAAGGCAGCAAAGGTTTGGAAACTCGCAGAGGTCCTGGTGGATCAGCAGCAGCAGTGCCAGGATGCCAAGAGCCAGCAGAAGGAGCAGATGGTGCTGCTGGAGAAGAAGAATGCCACCTACTCCCAGGTTTATCAGGGCATGGGACAGCCCCTTTCCTTTATCCTGACCTCAGGAGTACTTTTGGGGAAGCCAAAGCTTCCTGATCTACCCTCCTTTCTGCTGTCTTTATTTATGCCCTCTTCCTCCTCCATCTTGGGCTCAGGTGCTTCTCCGCTGCCTCACTTTGCTGCAGAGGCTTCTTCAGGAACACCGGCTGAAGACTCAATCTGAGCTAGACCACATCAATGCCCAGTACCTGGAAGTCAAATGCAGTGCTATGATCCTTAAGCTGAGGTGAGCTGTGATACCTGTGGATCTAAGAGATTCTGTCTCACATACCAGCCCTCTATCTCACCTTAATCTCTTTCCTCTCCCTTATCCTGGCACCTTGTGGGTATCTAGTAAATGTCACATAGCAGTATTAGCTTTTGGGTTACCCAGAAGCTTTCAACATTCTTGAGTCTGTTCTTTTACACCCTTCTGAAATAGCACTTTATTGTGAGATCAACTGCTCAGGAAGTCAGAGTGACCTTGTTTATCTTATCAGTGCTTAGTCCATACCTTGACCATCAGCAGGCACTGTGTCCGTTCCCAACCCTGCTCCACTTGACATTTCTTCCTTCCCTCTGTCAGGATGGAGGAGCTGAAGATTTTGTCTGACACTTACACTGGTGAGAAAGTGGAAGTTCATCGTCTGATTAGGTGAGAACACCCAAGAGTCTGGTACGGCTGTTCACAGGTGGTTCTCACATTCCCTAAACTCATTAATTTTAAAATATTCCCATTTTTGTCTGGGCACGGTGGCTCATGCCTGTAATCCCAACACTTTGGGAGGCCGAGGTGGGCGAATTGCTTGAGGTCAGAGTTCGAGACCAGCCTGGCTAATATGGTGAAACCCTGTCTCTACTAAAAAGATACAAAAATTAGGCCGGGCATGGTGGCTCATGCCTGTAATCCCAACACTTTGGGAGGCCGAGGTGGGCGAATTGCTTGAGGTCAGAGTTCGAGACCAGCCTGGCTAATATGGTGAAACCCTGTCTCTACTAAAAAGATACAAAAATTAGGCCGGGCATGGTGGCTCATGCCTGTAATCCCAGCACTTTGGGAGGCTGAAGCGGGCAGATCACAAGGTCAGGAAATCAAGACCATCTTGGCCAACATGGTGAAACTCCGTCTCTACTAAAATACAAAAAATTAGCTGGGTGTGGTGGCGGGCGCCTGTAGTCCCAGCTACTTGGGAGGCTGAGGCAGGGGAATCACTTGAACCCGGGAGGCGGAGGTTGCAGTGAGCCGAGATTGTGCCACTGCACTCTCGCTGGGTGACAGAGCAAGACTCCATTGCCCCCGCCAAAAAAGAATCTTGACATAAAAAATACAAAAATTAGCTGAGCATGGTGGCGCATACCTGTAATCTCAAATACTTGGGAGATTGAGGCAGGAGAATCACTTGAACCCAGGAGGTGGAGGCTGCAGTGAGCCAAGGTTGCACCACTGCACTCCAGCTTGGGCAACAGATACTCTGTCTCAAAAAAAAAAAAGTTTCCATTTTTGCCTACTACTTTCTGAGGAGCAGCATCCTTATATTGTGCCTTCTCTGCCCGGGCTCTTAGGGACCGTTTAGAGGGAGCCATTCACCTACAGGAGCAGGATATGGAGAAATCAAGACAGGTCCTGAACTCCTATGAGGTCCTTGGGGAGGAGTTCGACAGGCTGGTGAAAGAGTACACCGTACTCAAACAGGCAATTGAGAATAAGCGGTGGGCCCTCCAGGAGTTCAACAAGGCCTACCGTTGAGCTCTGAAAGGGCCAGGAAGCATGGCTTCTGCACAGTTGCTGCCTCCTAATCTTCCTGCTAGTAGGACTGACCACCTTCACCTGGGCTGCCTTCACTACAAGGGAATGTGAGAGTGCTTGTGCTTACTTGACACGCTGTAGTCAGTTAGGCACCCTCCCTGTTTCTCCTTTATAATGACTGGGCCTCTTCTGGAAAATCTAGCAAGTAGATTTATATAATTTTTATGCATAGCTTTTTGTCAGTGTCAGCCCTGTATTGTATTTGATTATCTAATGAATAAAGTTATGACATTATATCTTAGGATTTTAGTCATTTTCCTTGGGCAAAGATGGTAAAAGAACATTGACGGCTAAGTGGGTAAGGAAGGGGGAACTGAGTGGATGCAAATAGAGACAGATACATGATGCTTATGCAAAAAGTAAGAGGTAGAATTGCCAGCCTGCCTACATCAAGTCTTAGAGGCTTCATTTTGGGAGAGCAGAGTGGATTAAATTTGGGCTTGCTCTTGGAGAACTATAATCTCCAGAGGAATGCTAGATGCTCAGGCAGGTAGAGAGCTATTTTCTCACTATGTTTATCAGTGTGGGAGTTACAGTAAAGCAATTGAGGCTGGGAGCAGTGACTCACACATGTAATTCCAGCACTTTGGGAGGCCAAGGCAAGATAATCACTTGAGCCCAGCTGTTGAAGACCAGCCTGGGCAACACAGCAAGACCTTTGTCTCTATGAAAAAAAAAAATTTTTTTTGAGATGGAGTATCACTCTGTTGCCAGGCTGGAGTGCAGTGGCACAATTTCACCTTACTGCAATCTCCAGCTCCTGGCTTCAAGGGATTATCCTGCCTCAGGCTCCGGAGTAGCTGGGATTACAGGCGTGTGCCACTACACCCAGCCAAAAAAATTTTTTAATTAGTGTGATAGTGTGTGCCTGTAGTACCAGCTACTCAGGAGGCTGTGGCAGGAGGATCACTTGAACCCAGGAGGTCAAGGCTGCAGTGAGCCATGATGGCACTGCTGCACCCAGCCTGGGTGACAGAGTGAGACCGTCTCAAAAATAAATAAATAAATAAATGAACGAAGCAGCCAGTGTCCACCTCAGTTATAGGAAAGGACACAAGCCACTTGTGTTCCTGGTTGCCTCTAGTGTAGTTTGAGGGCTACATTTTTTTCCAAGAGCAGAGATTTGGAGGAGATCCCCCTGAGGAACCAAGTTCAACAGTCAGCTTAGAACAAAGCAGAGTCCTGGCTGGTGTCAAAATGGGGGACTGAGGGCAGAAGCAGAAGGCCTCTACCTTTATTTAGAAGAGCCTACTCAGTTTTCTGAAACCACTTTCCAGGGAAACTGTCTTGGGGCATTCTGCTAATATCAAATGATGGTCTAGATTTATTTACAGAAAGAATGTCTTCGACTCAACTTTTTTTTCCTTTATTTTTTTTTGAAACAGGGCCTCACTTTGTTGCCACTTGATGGTCTGGATTTATTTACAAGAAGAATTAGTGTCTTTGACTCAACTTTTTTTTTTTTGAAACAAGGTCTCACTTTGTGGCTGGAATGTAGTGGCATAAACACGGTTTTATTAAGGAGAATTGACTAAAAAAAAACAAAAACAAAAAAAACCACGGCTCTCTGCAGACTCAATCTCCCAGGCTCAAATGATCCTTCTTCCTCAACCCTGCAGGTAGCTGGGACTACAGGTGTGTGCCACCATGCCCAGCTAATTTTTTTTTTTTTTTTTTGAGATGGAGTCTTGCTCTGTCGCCCTGGCTGGAGTGCAGTGGTGCGGTCTTGGCTCACTTCCACCTCCGTCTCCAGGGTTCATGCGATTCTCATGCCTCAGTCTCCTGCGTAGCTGGGATTACAGGTATGTGCCAGCACATTGGGCTAATTTTTGTAGTTTATTAGTAAAGACGGGGTTTTGACATGTTGGCCAGGTTGGTCTCGAACTCCTGACCTCAGGCGATCCACCTGCCTCGGCCTCCCAAAATGCTGGGATTATAGGCGTGAGCCACTGCACTCGGCCAATTTTTGTATTTTTTTTTTTTTTGAAGAGCAATTATCAGAGATTCAGAGTGACCTTGTTTATCCTATCAGTGTTTAGCTCATACCTTGACCATCAGCAGTCACTGTGTCCATTCCTAAGCCTGCTGCTATCAGGGATCTTCCACTTGACATTTCTTTCTTCCTTCTGTCAGGATGGAGGAGCTAAAGATTTCGTCTAACATGCCACTGCACTGCAGCCTGGGTGACAAAGTGAGACCCTGCCTTCCAAAAAACAAACAAAAAAATGAAATTTTTAGTAGGCTGCTGGTTACCGTATTGGACATTGCAGATATAGAATATTTACATTATTACAGAAAGTTCTGTTGGACAGTGCTATAAGCCTGTATTTCCTGGAAACTGGAAGTAGGTCCACAGACTTGATTAGATTTCGGTTACACAGGTTTGCAAAGAATACTTAATAAATGACATTACATACTTCACATTACATCACCCTGGAGACATCAGGTTGCAATTTGTCACTATTAATTATGCTGAGTTTTATTGCTTGGTTAAGGCAAGAACTGTCAGATACCACATAGTGGTATCTCTAGTGTATAAAAATCTATTTTCTCTTTGTAAGTAGCATCTGGAAATGAACTTCAAAAATCTCAAAATAGTTCTTCCTGATACTTATAGTATTTAGCATTTCCTCATTTGGTATACTAATCATCCTGAATCATACCAAGTTTTGGTATTTGAAATAATAAAGGTAATAACTTTTAAAACTGGATCTTGAGGCCGGGCACAGTGGCTCACACCTGTAATCCCAGCACCTTGGGTGTCTGGGGTCAGTAGATCATCTGAGCCCTGGAGTTTGAAACCAGCCTACCCAACATGGCAAAACCCTGTCTCTACTAAAAATACAAAAATCAGTCATGTGTGGTGGCGCATGCCTGTAATCCCAGCTACTCAGGAGGCTGAGGCACGAGAATTGCTTGATCCCAAGAGGTGGAGGTTGTGGTAAGCCAAAATCACACCACTTCATTCCAGCCTGGATGACAAAGCAAGACTCTATCTCGAAAAAAAAAGGACCTTGACAGGGCCCAGTGACTCACGCCTGTAATCCCAGCACTTTGGGAGGCGAAGGCGGGGTGGGGGTGATCACTTCAGGCCAGGAGTTCAAGACCAGGCTGGCTAACATGGTAAAACCCCATCTCTACTAAAAATTAAAAAATTAGTAAGGTGTAGTGATGCCTGCCTGTAGTCCCAGCTACTCAGAAGGCTAAGGTGTGAGGATCACTTGAACCTGGAAGGGGGAGGTTGCAGTTAGTGAAGATCGCAGCACTGCACTCCAGCCTTGATGAAAAGTAAGACTGTTTCTAAATAAATGAATAAAAACCTTGTTCTCAATGTTTATAACCTACAGTAGTAAACACACAAAACAGTCTAAGAGCATAAAGTAACAAGAAGTGCAAATATATGTGGTTGTAAACCAGAAGTGAATCAAGAATAGAATTTGAAGCCAGGCGCGGTGGCTCATGCCTGTAATCTTAGCATTTTGGGAGGCTGAGACAGGCGGATCACCTGAGGTCAGGAGTTCGAGACCAGCCTGACCAATATGGTGAAACCCCGTCTTTAAAAAAAAAAAAAAGAATTTGAGGGCTGGGTACAGTGGCTCACCTGTAATCCTAGCACTTTAGAACCCCTAGGAAGGAGGATTGCTTGAGTCCAGGAGTTTGAGACCAGCCCAGGAAGCATAGGGAGAACCCATCTTTACAAAAGAAAATTTTTTTTATTTTTTTAATTAGCTGTGCATAGTGGCATGTGCCTGTATTTCCAACTACTCAGAAGGCTGAGGTGGGAGGATTGCTTGAGCCTGGGAGGTTGAGGTTACAGTGAGCTTCATGCCACTGTACTCCAGCCTGAGTGGCAGAGCAAGATTCTGCCTCAAAAAGAAAAAAAAATAAGGAATAGAATTATGGAAAAGCAACAAAGAGAGAAAAGGGAAGAAGCCATGTGGGAAGGGAGAGTTAAGAATGGGCAAATCATGTACCAAGGAAAGCTTTCATGTGAAGTGAACAGAATTTGATAAAAATATCCTATGGCTTTAGTAGAGAATCTAGAAAGCTGGAGTTTGAGAAATATTTCAATTTCGAGCTGCCTGAGAAAGCAAAATGAGTTCCAAGGCAGTGGTCCTCACTCTGGCTCTCTAAATGGCATGGGGATGAACAGTGAGCTATTTCTTGTATTTCCAAGAAGCCTAAAGAAAATGGGCTGGGTGCAGTGGCTTACGCATGTAATCCCAGCATTTTGGGAGGCCGAGGCAGGCAGATCGCCTGAGCCGTGGAGTTTGAGACCACCCTGGGCAATATGGTGAAACCCTGTCTCTACTAAAATACAAAAAATTGGCTGGGTGTGGTGACGTGCATCTATAGTCCCAACTACTTGGGAGGCTGAGGCATAAGAATTGCTTGAGCCCCAGAGGTAGAGGTTGCAGTGAGCTGAGATTGGGCCATTGCACTCTAGCTTGGGCTACAGACTGAGACTGCCTCGAAAAAAATAAATAAAAATAAAATGGGGCTGGGCGCAGTGGCTCACGCCTGTAATCCCAGCACTTTGGGAGACTGAGGCAGACAGATCACCTGAGGTTAGGAGTTTGAGACCAGCCTGGCCAACATGGTGAAACCCCATCTCTAAAAACAAAACAAAACAAAACAAAAAACCTAAAAACAAAATAAAATAGAAAAGAAAATGGAATCTTTGCTTGCAACAGTTCAGCACAAACTTTTTTTTTTTTTGAAATGGAGTTTTGCCCCTGTTGCCCAGGCTGGAGTGCAATGGCGCGATCTTGGCTCACCGCAACCTCCACCTCCCGGGTTCAAGCGATTCTCCTGCCTCAGCCTCCTGAGTAGCTGGGATTACAAGCATGCGCCACCATGCCCGGCTAATTTTGTATTTTTAGGAGAGACGGGGTCAGGCTGGTCTTGAACTCCCAACCTCAGGTGATCTGCCCACCTTAGCCTCCTAAAGTTCTGGGATTACAGGTGTGAGCCACCATGCCTAGCCTTGCACAAACTATTTTTTAAAAAAAAATATTTATTGGCTTTAAAACTAGAACACATGTTTTGTAAAAATACTCAAAACATGCTGGGTGTGGTGGCTCACGCCTGTAATCCAGCACTTTGGGAGGTCAAGATGGGTGGATCACGAGGTCAGGAGTTCGAGACCAGCCTAGCCAACATGGTGAAATTCCGTTTCTACTAAAAACACAAAAATTAGCTGGACATGGTGGCGGGTGCCTGTAATCCCAGCTTCTCAGG